AAGTCAGCGGACGCAGACCTCAAGTCGATCATAGAGCAGCAAAGCAATGTGTCTGCCATCCAGCCTTGGCCGGTCGCTCGTGCAGAGACCCATTCTGACGAATACAACAGACTTCTTCGTGATGCCAGCGCTTCATTGTCGGGAAACATGCACCCGACCAAACGTCAAATTCCCCTCACAGCGCCTAAAACGGCTTCTCCTTACGCGGATCAAATCTTTATCCCACGCCGGGATTTTTTTCGGGCGTTCTTATCCAATGCGGTCCGACTGGGATTCACGGATAATCACATGAAGGAATGTAAGACCCGCAGTCCCATCAACCAGATCTGGTCCGTCAAGGACGGCAGATTCAGCGAGCTTGGTCCGGACGACAGACCGCTGAACGATCAAGTGGAGCTGGACGAAGACTGGAAGCGCGATCTCCCAGAGAATATGCGCCCGACTGCTGTCCAGCTGCGAACGCCTCACAATCTTGTCTTTGACACGCTACCCTGGCCAGCGGTCCGCAACCGCATCCTGATGATGGTCGGCGCTGGAGACTCGCTGGCCAGCATGGAGCTGAAAGGAGACATGATGAGGCTAGGCACGCACGAAGGTTGGCACATGTGCGCATTCTACATTCACGGCGACCATCCCGAAGACATGATGGATGAACAGTGTTGGGAGCTTTCGGAAGCTTTTGCCACCAAATTTTGGTTCTTGCTGGACAAGCACATTATTCGGACCACGAACCGCTGGAGAAGAGCGCGAGGAGTTCACCCCATCGTCATTCCGAGCATGTTCGACTCGAGCGTGAACGGCTCTCCTGCCGCCTTTGCCGCCTGATTCCTCTTGCCCCCTCTAGCCATTCCACTTTCCGCACCGAGAGCTCGCGCTTCTTCTTTTGTACGACTATCCTGTAAAGCACCCACTTCAACCACTCATCCGTCCGCGTGCACCACTCAGTTCCAAGCGTCTTCACACGTGCCAATGTCTGCGCTTCTTGGTGTGAATCGTTGTGTACAATTCGTCCCCACATGTGCCTCTCAAAGCGCCGATGAAATTCATCATCTGCCTGCTCATTCGGTCTCAGATGCGCAAAGTACGCAGCTTCGTGTCAAGCAAGCACAGAGGAGATCTATGCAAGCTTTGAATCGCTCGGCGATTCGCGTCTTTCCGGTGCACTCAGGTTGCTGATAGCGGAGAATTGCATGAGTCAAGAGCCGTTCAAGGAGCCATCTGAGCACCTTTTGCGTGTGCCACAGAACCATACCTGGCATTGCGATTCGAGACGTTTGTGTTCAACAAGGGCTTGGCGCTCTTGCGAGCAAGCGGACATGTGATCAATCAGGATCCGCCCGGGACTCAAGACTGGCATTGAA